AGCCCTCACCTGAGAAGAAAATTCAAAGGCTTCAAAGAAAACTTACTAAGATTAACAATGAAATTGCAAAAGAAAATAATTAGAATGGCTTTAGGCAGGAAGTGAAAATATTAACATCTAGCTACAAGAAGAAGTTTAAGTTCTATCTAAAAAATAGCAAACTAAGTCAAATGCTAAATGGATTGAAGAGGGTGAAAAATTCACCAGATTTTTTTTACTCATTATACAAGTCAAGAAATAGCTTATTGGCTAAAAACAAGATACAAATTCTGCTTGTTAGATCTGAGTCATTTATAGTTTCAAAGATTATCAACCACTGATCTAAGCATACTGTAGTGCCTTCATAAAACAGAGGTTTAATTGATGCAACTTGGCAAACATTTTGAAATGCTTCTAGAATATGGTTGCTAATGTGTTTAGCATTGCCCATTGGTGTGTTTCTGAGTTTTATTATAAGAAAAGAGTAATTTAGATTTACTTAAATATATCCAAGCAGAGTTTGCTATAAAAATGAAATACCTTCTGTCATATAATGTTGTACTTTCTCTTTATCTTTAAAAATCATTTCTAGAGATGTTCTTTTGCCTTTTGATGTATGTACTTTGGCTACTAGTAAATCTTCTTTCAGACTAGCAGTGAGTGCTATTATAATATCATTAGTAGATATGTTATTGAGACTAGATATATCTACTATTAGTGCATTTTCATTTTTTAAGTAAATACAGTGTCTGGGAAATGAGTTGAGAAGGTTGCTTTTCCTTTTTTAAACTTGCAAATAGATCAGACCATTACTTTGGTCTTGTGCTTCTATTTTGTGTTTCTTTTATGCTTGTATCTAATTCCTTTTTAGGTTGGCTAATCTGTTCATTTATTATTGTGATTGATGATTGGTCATCACTATTTTGTTCATGTGGCTCTTGTTTGTTGTTGCCCAACATGTGTTTGTTACTACTGATATTTTTATGTTTTTGTTTGACTTTCTCTGTTGCATATTTGTTATTCTGCTTATTGTTGGGTTTTCCAGCTGCTTTTGATCTTAACAGTAGCTTGGTTTTTTGTCAGCTTAAAGAAGTTTATGCATTTTTGTTACTGTCTTTGGTTTCTGTTTTTATTTCTTTTTCTATGTGACTTGCCCAGTCTGCTATATGTTCTTCAGCTTTTAATTCTAATGTGCTATTAAGTTTGTTTATTGTGTTTTTTTCTTGACTATCACTTTTTGTACTATAATTAAATTGGGATTTGTAGGTAGTTAAGGTTTGTTTGTAGAGTTAACAGTCAAATACTCTGTAGGTAGTTTAGGTTTGTTTGTAGAGTTAACAATCAAATACTATACTGGTAATGGAATATTAAATTTATATGTATCTTGTATTTCTACAAAGAATTTCTTTGCCAGATAATAATTAGTTATAGGGAAATTATAAGTAATAGAAGTTTTGATTTGATTTAGTTTTTTTGAAAGTAGTTTTTTTTGAATGAAGTAATCATTTGGGACTTTATAAAAACTGTAATGCTCTCAGAGAATATTTACATAGCATTTAAAATCAGTTGCATTTTTAGGGCTGCAAGAAAAAAGGTATCTTATAGCTGAGTTAAGATTTTGAGACATTGATGATAAGAGTTCTTGAGTAGGTAGTAGATTAAAGTAGTTAGATGGTATACAGTCAAAGTCATAATATTTGTATAATTTTTGTCTGTATTTTGCAAATAAGGTATTTCAGATCAGCTTGTTGTTGAAAACATTGCATGTGTTTCTGCATTTAGGTCAGTTGGGTTGTTAGATAAAGGAATGATAGGATTAGCAAAGTAGTTTTTTTGGGAAGATATTAAGGTAACCTCTTTGGTTTTTTGACTTTATTAATCACTTATTGGTATTGTGGTTCAATGAACTACTACAGAAGAGTGTACAATTGGCTACATGTGTAACTTTTTTATATTACCTATTTAAGGAGTCTGCCTAAAGGTTCTCTACCAATTGCTATACCTAACACCCCTACTTGGGTGTTTTACTTTAAACCTTCTAAATGAAAAAACTCTTTTCAGTTCATCTCTAGAAATTAAGCAAAAACCAAAATTTCAACAAAAATTAATATATTTTCATTTCAGAACTCTTACAGAGCAAGGGTCCTTATTCCAAAGAAATGCAAAACAATGTCTTTAAACATGAACAAGGCTCAATACAAAAAGCTTAGGCTTGACACAATAGCAGAAAAAACCTTTAACTTTACAAAAACTGAAAACAGTGAGAAAGAAACCCAAAAAGCAAGAAAAAACAGCAACTTTATTTAGGAAACCAACAACCTAACAGCTAACTATGCAATAGAAGGAACAGCTTGCTAGGCCAGCCAAGTAGAAGAAAATGAGTTTCTTGAAACAAATAAAGAAAACATCAGCTTTCTAGACCAAAACGAAGCATGTAATAGTGCCAAAAAGTTAACAAACCTACTTCAAGTAAACAACAAACAACAATGGAATCACATGCCTTCTGATGATAATCTTAGACACATGTCTGATAGCAACACATCTGAACATATACAAGTTGATGAAAACATTGTCCAACCTCAGCAGAGTGCCACAAACAATGTGGCAACAACCTACAATAAGAAAGTCAACAACACAGAAGCTACTACTACAAAAAATGCCAAACCTAAACAATGATCAGACCTTTTTGCAAAGCTTAAAGGAGAGAAAGCAATCTACACAAACTCCACCCCTAGGCAAAGAATTTGTTTCAAAAACAACAATGCTTTAATCTTAAATATACAAAGTCTTAACAACATCACAACTAATGATATTATTACAGCCTTAGCCTCAAGTATCAGAGAAGACTTTCTAGTAGCCAAAATATACATGTCTAGAGGAGAAAGAGCTTTCCTAGAAGTAGTTTTCAAAAACAATGAAAAAGTTTAGCTTTATGTTGCCGAAGAAATTACACTCTTTAAACAGTCACTTTTTGGATACATTTTGATAAACCTCAACTGTACCTTTCTTATAGTGAAACTGAGAAACATGTCTTTAGATAAATCTAAGCACATTAGTAACCAAATCATAGAAGCCTTTCAAGATGTAAGGCAAATTGCATCAGTCAAACCTCTCCTCTTCAAAAGGACCAATATCTGCTCAGATCAATAGTTAATTATATTTGAAACTACAGATGATCCAGATGTAGCTAAAAGAATCCCAAGAAATACACTTATTAACTATCACAAAGTTACCACCGAATAGAAAGAAGCTCCTAAGGTCTGCTATTACTATGACAAAGAAGGTCATATTAAAAGGGATTGCGAAGAACTCAAAATCTCAATAGAAACAAGATGTCTTCTTAAAGAAGCTAAAGAGCAAAGAGAAAAGGCCAAAGAACAAAAACTTGCAGTACCAGAACTGAAATTCTATGCAGACAATCCATATATCGATAACTCAGCAGAATGGGCTCAAATAGAAAGACCTATAGAGGAATTAAATTTTCTACAATCCCAAACCTTTAATGAACATGTGACCTTAGACAACTTGTCTCAAAATTTTAACAAAACTGCAACTTTCCCAACTGACATGCATGTCGAATCTTCAACCAAAGACCAATCCTTCAACTCAACCGAGAGTGAGGCAAATGCTGACTTAACCTCTAATCCAATTGCTATGAATACATTTTTAAAGTCAGATGAAGCAGAATTTATACTAGTTACCTCTAAAAATAAAAGAAATAAGAGCAAAAAGAAGGATCAGGACAGAATGGCTGGTCCAAGCAAAAGCAAGGAGTTCCTCTAGCAAGACAACTTCAAGTTAGGTCACCCTTACTAAGAACCAACACACTTAGTGTAGCTATAAATACAAACTACATTCTCATGATTAAAATCACTACACTGAATGTTAAAGGGCTTAATAACAAAGCCAAAGCACAAAAAACATTTATTTTACTTAAGTCATACAACTTAGATATAATTATGATTTAAGGAACCAATCTCAAAGACAAAGCCACAAGAAACTTTCTTTCACAACAATGGGGACTCTACTCCTTTTGATATTCTAAAACAGCAATTCTAGCTGGCAAAAAGAACATCAAACTTTCCAACTTTAAAGAATCTTTTGATAAAAGAGTAATTTCTGCTAATGCAGAAATAAGGCAGCAATTATTTACAATCACAAACGTATATGCACCACCTAACTTTGAAGAAAGAGTTACTTTTCTTAGAAAATGGACCCCAAGTTTAGAAAATACAAGTATTAACATCATTGCTAGAGACTTTAACACAAACATAAATCCTAATAAGGACAGAATAAGTCAAGCTGCTGTTCAAAATGATCGCTCAAGAGAACTCCTTAAGAATCTAATATTAGAATATACTGACACAGCAATAACAACATCAGAAAACCCCTTTTTAACCTTTTACCAAACAACATATGGAAACCAAAAAATGGCCACCTGTTTAGACTATATATTTATAGACTTTAATTATAGTCACCTTTGCCAAAACACCTATCTTCTAGTTGAAAGTGAACTTAGTTTTAAAACCTTCTGTAACAAAAATATATTACTCTCTCTCTTTCTTTACTCTGATTTTTGGTGAAGGGCAAAATAACATATACAACAATAAACAAGTGATTAAACTTTAGGAAAAACTATACCACAAGAGCTAAAACTCTTGTGCTGAAGAAAAGAAAACAAGTCTGTATAGTTATATCTGGCTCTTTAACAGGCAGAACAGAAAAAAAACAAAAAAATCAGAGTTTTCTTCGAAGAAGGAAAACAAAACCAAGAAGCAGAGCTACCAAATAAGGCTAAAAGTTTAGAAAAATCCGTCCTAGGTACCTCAGCAAATGCAAACAAAACAGTAGGTTTTAATGAAAACTATGTTGGTAAGGAACCTTTAAACAAAAGTCAAGACCAAAAGAAAACTGAAGAAAAAGTGAAAGACATCAGGAACTGCCAGAACAACCAAAACAAACAGAACATGTGTTACAAAATAGTCATGTGAAATATGATAACAACAAAACACAAGGTACGAGTCATGTAACTAAGGAAGCAGGTTCCCAACTGAGACCAAGACAATGGTCAGAATTGTTCTCCAAATTAGAAAGAGGAAGAGCAACATACTTTACCTACTCATCAAGAAAAAGGATTAATACAAAGAATGAGAATGCTTTGATCTTTGAGGTACATAATCTGGAAAATATTCCAATGACTGACATCATAGAAGCAATGGCACAAAAGTTCAGGAATGACATAGTTGTGGTTAAACCAATTATTTCCAAGGGAAAAAGAACACATTTGAAGGTAGTTTTTGTAAATAAGGAAAAGCAACAGCTATATTCTGTAGAAGGTCTTGTCATCTTCAAACAAAACCTTCAGAGGTACATTCCAATCAATATTAGATGTAGCTTCCTTTTAGTTAGGCTTCAAAATGCCCCTATGAGCAAGAAAGATTTTGTTTCAGATTAAATTAAAATGGCATTCCAAGATGTGGGCCCAATTGCATCTATCAAACCACTAGTATATAAAGAAACTTCAATATTATCAGACCAATGGGTGGTAATTTTCGAAACAA